TCAGTCATGGTCCTAGCTAATGTCTCAGCGTCTCTTTTATTGGAAAACAACTTGGTGTTCCTTTGGGCCCATGAAGTGGATTCAGTTATTCCATTTAAATGTCTAATCTGGCTGTTGTGATTAATCAATACCGATTAGATCAAGTTGAACTTGGGTAGGTGAGTTAAGCATAAGTTTGCAGTGATCTATTCACACTTGAGAGTTCAGTCATCGATAACAAAAGATATAAAATTTAGAATTAATGACATTTCGAACCTCTCTGTTATCGATCTTTTGATTGTAATGTCACTTGCTTGTGATGTTCTTATTTAACATTTTTGCATACTTATTTTGTGTATTGTTGCTGGATATCTAAACTTAGATTAAGGAAGTTAATTTCTAACACCAGAGAGAAGGTGGGGTTGTAAGAGTTGAGCCTTGATAGAGTTCATGTGTAGGGTTTGTGCTTGTGATGATAAGAAATAGACTACAAGAATTGACAACCATGGGTCCCTGGTCCATCGTGAGACCAGCAATGGACCCCACACTCTCCCCACAAGCACAGTCCCCCATGAAGATTTTGATCACCCCAGTGCCGCTATAGTTGTGACTCCATTAGTGTATGTGTGAATTCACTCTAAATCATGTTTCTCCGTATTCTCCCAAATTTGAAATTGGCGTCTCCCATTGAAACCTTGATTAGTCAATGAGGACTTGTAGGGCGTTAATCCAATCAAGTTTTGTAAATTTGAGTTTGATTTTATCGAGTTCATTTTTTTAAATGAGTCTAAAAAATTATTCAAGTTTGACTTATTTAAAAAATAAATCGAGTTCGAACTCGAGCCAAATTCAAGTTGAGATTAAATAGTTTAATTATTTTATATACAAACGAATCGGACATTTAGGCTTGTTTTTCTAAACGAACTTAAAAAATTATTCAAACTCACCAATTAACCCCCTTTTATTTGATTTTTTTTTTAACAAAAAAATTTATCCCTTACAACTTTCCATAATTTTTTAACTTCCTCATTGTTTAATAATGGTGGGAGACAGGTAAAGGGCGAGGAAGGAAAAAAAAGAACAAAAAAAAAAATCATAGACTAAATGATACAGTATTATCATAATGAAAAAAATTTTATATCTATAAAAGTGGGATCAACAATACTATTATGATAATGTCACTTCATTTAATCTATATTTTGTCTCTTTTTTTTAATCAATCTAGAATTACTAAAAAAAATAGAGGATTGTGTGAATTTCATTAATTACACGAAAATGACATTATTAAATTTTATATGAGAAAATAGCCACGGATAGGTGAATTCATCAAACATTTTTTTTTTGTTTCACGGTGTTTAAACTTGCGCCAATTACTATCTCAAACTCAGTGGTTAAGCTGAGGTAGAACATGTTCCCAAATAAACAAGGGTGATTAGTCCTTAAAGGATATAAAAAATGATTGAATCTGAAACTTCTGAATTATCAAAAAATTAGCTCAATCAATTAACCACTCCTAAAAATTAATTCATGTGACCTCTACTATCCATTAAAAAATGCAAATGTTTTAACATTTACTCCAAATTGTTTTCATACTTTCCCCATGTGGTGCTCAACTTGGACCATGGGCTAAGCCAGTGACCAACGCGAACCCCACCGCATGACTAGGCTAGAGGTCCAAGAGAATAATTAGAGGTCCCACCCAAAATAATTTTAGGCACAGGTGTTAAAGGTGTCGGGTTGGTTATTTGTTTTGTGTTTGTGTCAAAAATTCTTAAACATTAATCTGACATATTTAATAATCGTGTCGAAATGTGTAAACACTAACCTGACTTGCCCATTAAATGTGTTACCCGAACCTGACATGTTTGACACGTTTAATAAACATGTCATTTTTGATTTAATACATTATACGACATGTTAACCTGTTTAACCCACATATCAACACCATCCAGTTCTAACCTATATTAAATATCCGAAGTATGATTTGTTTCGGCCATGACAACATCATCAGCAATAGGGGCAGGTCCATCAATGTGTTCGTCAAAAAAAATAAATATGTAAGCAAAATATTTAAGTACATTTTTGGTCAAAATACAAAAAAAAATTACACAAACTTCCAATACATCTTGTAATGTTAAGTAGATAAAAATGAGTTAAGGAAAAATATTATACAGCCAAGGGAATCTATGCTGTGATTCGAATCCGACTGTTTTACATTTCAATTGAGTTACAGCGTGCAAAGAGAGAGAGAGAACACAACGACACAGAGAGAGAGAGGGGACAAACTTGTTCGGTTGAGCAATGGTGAAGGCATGAACGACGAGAACGACGAGAGCTTGAATAGTGAGCCCTCCTCTACTCCTCCAGACAAAGCGAACAGCGGCGGCCGATAGTGAAAAAGGGCAAAAAGGGGAAAAGTGGGAGTGGATTAGAGTTAAGTTTTTTTTGTTGTTTTTATATATTTGGATAAATCGGTTAAACGGGTAAGAAATGGGTAGGTCAGGTTCGAGTCGAATTATATTAACCTGTTTAAATTATACAGGTTAATCAGGTCAAAATCGGGTTGACCTAATTTCGACATGAACTCAATCTACTTTTTTTTTCGTGTTTATACGTGTTGACCCATTTTTATCCATTGACCCATTTAATTTCGTGTTCAACCCATTTATTTCGTGTTCGGTTCGTGTCGTGTTGAAAATTGACAGCCATAATTTTAGGGATAATTTTACGGTATCAAAAAAAAAAATGATATCGTATCAAAGACTACTATTTTTAAAAATAAGATTGTTATTTTCTTAAAAAAAAATCAACTGATTAAAGTAGTTAATAATAAATCATGAATTACCTGAATCAGTTGTAATTTTTCTATGCGAATTGTAATTTCTCTTTAACCAGTAATAACTTGATTTATAAATATATAACTTTCACGATTGATTATAATATTTTAAAATTAATTATAATTTTTATAATTACAATTTTACCAAAAAAAAAATTATAAATTATAGTACAATACGATTTCCCTAGTTTTGGAGAAAATATTCAATGCAACGGTGATAATAAATCAACATCAATGACATAATATTATCAATCAACAATAAAACTCTAAATAGACAAAGTTGACTCCACTTAAAAAACTTGTATGGGGTCTATTTTTTTATTTATTTAAATATTATTTATTAATAATATCACGTGATAATATTGATGTAACGTCACTGTTATAATAATATTTTTTCCTAGGTTTGGTGGTATTTGCCTAACGAAAGCGTGACAAATGAAAGCGTAGAAAAAGCTTTGTTTCCAAGTCAGAAATGAAAGCGTAGAAAAAGCTTTGTTTCCAAGCCTAGAGTTTCAATATCTTCCACCTCCTATCAATCTTTCTTGTTGCCTAGCGATGTTGCGATGTGGTCCCCAAACACGTGTTGAAGTTTGCCTCATTCAAGAATCACGCGTGTCGGTTTATTAATGGCCTAATTTTCAGTTTTCAATCCTTTAAACACGTCATCAACAGATTTAATCAAATGCTTTGCCATTACATGAAACCTAATCTTTTGGATCCAACGTTGTTCAACAAATTTCTTAATAAATCCACCATTATAATTGTATGTGTAATGTTATTAAAATTTAAAAATTAATTTAATTTATTAATTTAATGATATATCAAGTGATAGAGACTCCACACCCACAATTAGAAACGAGATTAGAAATAGGAGTATTCTCCTATAATGTAGATGTTTAATTTTGTTGCTCTCTCTCTCATCATTTGTCAAAATAAAAAAAAAAGTAATAGAATCCTGATGTAAAAGTTCAACAGAAATAGTCACAATAATTATATTAGACAATGTCACAACCAAGTTAGTTTTTCAAATTCTAATAGCATTACTTTAGTTGTATTGAAATTCATTTTCCGAGAAAAAAAAACTATATAACAACTTAGGAACTATAGTTTTTACATATCATCTTTTACTATATTTTTAACGATAGATCATGCTTTCATAATTCAAGTGAGGTCCAACTTGAGGTCATCATCAATATGCATTGGATAATATGTTGTGTTTGAATTTTGACAATTTTTTAGAGTTAAGTTATGAAAAATTTATTTATCTTCATGAATTTCTTAATGTTGGCATAGATGACTTATCTTTGATCGAACTGAGAAGGAAATTAATCGATTGGAGAAGAGATTAATCGAGATATACGTAAGTTGATCTAAATATCCTGATCGTTGAAAGAAAGAAAGAAATTAGAGAAAAATATGTCAAACTAAACCAATCTAGTGGCAGCATGAATCTAATCTTTCAAATTTTTGTCAAAAAAATTGGTACAACAAACACTACCCTTCTTTCACTCACTTAGCGAATCATGTCAACGTGCTCTAACAACATCACAATTAGGAGTATATAATCAACGCAACAGTGATAACGAGTGATCAATGATATATAATATTACGATTAAAAAATAATATACCACCACCACTTACATTGGTTTTTGACAAACGTTAAAAAATACGTAAACTGCACATGTCGTNTATACCACCACCACTTACATTGGTTTTTGACAAACGTTAAAAAATACGTAAACTGCACATGTCGTACCACGTTATTAAATGTTCTTGTCATTTGAATTTGATGATATATGATATTGGATAATGTTATTGAGACTGAATTTATTGATATAATTTAGTGATTTAATTTATTATAATCTTTGAATTCACGATAAACTCTTTCAATTATTAAAACTTAATATTGATTTAATAATTTTTATAAAATTACATTATTATGTTAATAAATTAAAGTCAAATTTTTAAGTTTCAAATAGTATTAGTATATGATGTTGTGGTTTCATTGAATGCGGAGATATTTCATGACTAATTAGCTCTTTTGGAACATTACGCGGCATGCAACTATTGGTGGCATAGGATCCATATCATACACATGCAATGTACCGAATCCTTGTGGGCGGCCATGTTAATTCTAGGGTCCTAATAGCCATATAAAAATGCGGTTGCCAACTCTAAGCAACATTCTCTCTCTCTCTCTCTCTCTCTGTATTGTAACATGGTCTTCGTTGATAAATCCCCAAAATCCAGAGGTGATGCACAGTTTCATAACCTGTAGAAGCATAAGAGATTAATCAATGGAGAGCACTGACTCATCGACAAATCCACCGCAGCCTCAGCTCCCTCCGGGCTTTCGCTTTCACCCCACCGATGAAGAACTGGTTGTTCACTATCTCAAGAAAAAGGCCGCCTCTGCTCCTCTTCCTGTTGCAATTATAGCTGACATCGATCTTTACAAGTTTGATCCATGGGAACTTCCAGGTAGTATATATAATATCATGCCTGTGTGTTTGTGTGTGAAACTTTGAATATAGTGATATGTTTGTGTGTGTGTGTGTGACTATGTGTGATTTTGTCTTCAAGTAGAAGCCATACTGGTATGGGCGGGTATGGCTTTCAGCTAAGGCTACATGTGTGTTTGTGCACAACCAATCTCATACTAACAATCTCGGAATTATATATACTGATATACATATATGTGTGTGTGTGTGTGTGCGCGCGTGTGTAGGTGTATCTTATGGCTTGGACAATAAAAAAGGCGAGTTCATTTTGAGTTTATAGGGTATACTGATATGGGTGTATGTGGGTTTCAGCTAAGGCTACGTTTGGGGAACAAGAATGGTACTTTTTTAGCCCAAGGGATCGAAAATACCCAAACGGGGCAAGGCCTAACAGGGCTGCGACTTCTGGGTATTGGAAGGCTACGGGGACTGATAAGCCTGTAATGACCTCTGGTGGGACTCAGAAGGTTGGTGTTAAAAAGGCACTAGTCTTTTATGGAGGTAAGCCACCTAAAGGGATCAAAACCAATTGGATCATGCATGAGTATAGGCTTGCCGACAACAAATCCAATACCAAGCCTCCTGGCTACGATGTGGGCAACAGAAAAGGCTCCTTAAGGGTAATTACTCCTTTATTCCAAAAGGGTTTGTGTGTGTGTGTGTGTGAGAGAGAGAGAGTTGAGAAAAATTTTCGTGACATCGTCGCACGATTCTTATAAATATTGTAAATTCTCAATAAATTATTGTCATTTGAAAAATTATTAAGAATTTTTTTGAAAAAAAATCAATATGCATGTATAAGAAGCGAATGTTATTATAATTTTTATTGAGTAGCNATTGTAAATTCTCAATAAATTATTGTCATTTGAAAAATTATTAAGAATTTTTTTGAAAAAAAATCAATATGCATGTATAAGAAGCGAATGTTATTATAATTTTTATTGAGTAGCACAATATTTTCACATGGTGCTGAATATTTTTTATCATGTTTGTGTGACACTGAATTTTTCTTGAAGCTTTTACACCTCATTAGAACTAATGAGAGTTTGATTGGTTTCCTAGCTTGATGATTGGGTGTTATGTCGAATCTACAAGAAGAATAATACACAGAGACCGATGGATAATGAGAGGGAAGACTCGATGAATGGCATGCTTGGATCGATACCACTTGGCCAGCAAAATCCAAAATTTCCGACAATAAAGTCAAACTATAGTACATTGCTCGGACACGAACAGAACTTGTTCGAAGGGATGATTAGCAGTGATGGAATCCACAGTGGGTCTATGTCTCAGTTGGCCTCATGTAGTTCAAAGCCACAGCTTCCCATGATGACTGCGGCAGCAGCGGTGGCGGTGGCATCCGCCACCACCCTCCCCGTGAAGCCTACACTTCCAAATATATACTGGAATGATGAGGGTTCGGCTGGTTCTCCATCTACCAAGAGATTTGTTCATGATAATGGAGATGAAAGCGTTGCCAGAACAGCTGAGAACAGTTCTATGGCCACTTTCCTCAGCCAGCTTCCACCAACCCCTTCATTACACCAACAAGCTATGTTGGGTTCTCTTGGTGATGGGGTATTTCGACAACCCTATCAACTCCCTACGGGCATGAATTGGTACTCCTAAATCGGATAAAAAATACAGAATAGCCCAGTGCACGAAACTTCTGTCACTACAAAGTGAGAGGAGGTAAGTATGATACTACTACACTCTATTTATGCCTAACTGAAAGTTCTCAAGATTCAAACAGAGACTTATCATTATATTGTTGTAAGTACATGTTATATATGCTCATAGACAGCTGCTAAGTTGTGGATTGCTGGGTTGGATATAAGGACTTTGCTGGTCGGGAAAAGGTATATTGAAGATTTGTTAGATGGTCTACAGTGTCTGGGCTTGTCTGGCCATATTTAGGTGAGCTAGCTGTATATAATTTTACAGTCAGTCATATAGAAAAATTACATGCATCTTGGGTTGTTCAATGCAGAGATGCAAATAACTATTTTAGTCTTCATCACATAGAAAACTAGAACAGAGAATTACAGCACTGTTTTGTTCTAGAATTCAGTTGTATTTGAAAAACTTGAAGAGATTGTAGTAATATAATTTATTGCTGCTGATTGTAAGAAGAAAGAGTACTATGATTTATGTTTCTTTCTTCTTTTCTTTTTGTTATTTTGCGACACTGACATGGTACTGTGCTGAGATAGACGCCATGAACTCCGATGTTTTTCCTTCATACACAATCCGATGTACCAAGTCAATATTATTATTTGCTGACATAATTTGTTGACATAATCTATCACAACTATGTGATTAGTTGTGGAATAAATTAGGTGTAAGATACCTTGCTAGTCTAAGTACTTGAAGATAGAGTTTGGTTTTTGGACTCTTTACATTGAAATGCAGTCGTTGCAGAAATCCTAGAAGGTAAGAAGTTAAACATGTTTTAATTATCTTTATCCTTCTTTTGATGATCTTGCTTTTGTATACACAACTTGCAAATGTGAAAGGTGATTAATAGATTCCGAGCTTATATTATTTTTGTCTTTTACATAGCTTCGAAGATTGTATAATTGATCTATCTTTGGGTAAATATTCCATTGCAATTGTTATATCATGTCATCAATGACATATATCACCAACTATTTAGGAAAAGTGAACAATATTCCAAGATATTAGTTAGTCGACATAGCAATTATTGAAAGTTACTAAAATAGCATAATCCACTCTGTATATATGGTATAATATTATTGGTTGATTATACATAATACCGAAAATCAAACCAAACTACTCCAGCTCGGCTTGAGTTTAATTTGTTTTGGGATTGTTCAGACTAACGAGCTGAATTTGAACAATTTTTTAAACTTTTTTAAAAAGACAAGCTTGACAGACTCAGCTTGAGCTCGTTCAGGCTCATTCGATTATCAATTCTAGTGATACCACATGAGAGTGATATGGTATCCTTGTTACTAGCTTTCGTACATTATTCAGTTTCATTGTGAAATAATATGATCAGCTGTAGACATGTGCTCATACTTCTAAATGTGAATCATGGTTTTAATGAAAAAGACAAGAATCATTGGTATTGTTTAAACTACCAATAAATAATGGACTGGTCAGGAGTATGATCATATTTTCAATTACTTAACAGTCATTATTGTTGTTGTTTATCATTATTTTAGTAAAATTTTCTTTTTTCCAAAAAAAAAAACTGGACCTACATATTTTGTCTTTGATATTGATTTCAAGCTTTGTATGGTTTTATTATTGANTTCTTTTTTCCAAAAAAAAAAACTGGACCTACATATTTTGTCTTTGATATTGATTCCAAGCTTTGTATGGTTTTATTATTGACTCTTGAAGAGAATTAGTCCTTAATTATGTCCTTTTTTCTGTGCTTTTTTCTTACTTTTTCTGGCTTCAAAAGAGCTTTTTGCCCCAAAATTTTTCCAACATATATTGCATTTTCATAATTTCTTTTAATTTTCAAAACCAAAATGCATGCATACACCCCAATAGAAAAATTGGAGGAAAAAAGTTTATTAGACAAGATTTTTTTAGGGTAAATATCGGTGTAGTAGCAATGTTGTTCCATTATTATTTGGCGTCAATCATTTGAATTCTTAAAATAATTTCTCAGCATGTGGGGTAAAATTACATATATCTAATATTTTCTCCCTAGATTAATAATTGTAAAGGTCTCCTGTAGGGATGTTAGTGAACTGAAGCGGGGGCGGGGAGTGTAGTTTTCATCCCCGTACTCGCTTAAAAAAACTTTATCCATTCCCGATCTACCCCCGTTAACGGATATAGTTTTCATTCCCATTTCCGTTCGCGGATAAATTTTTAATCCTCGTCCTCGTCCCCTCTTCCCCCATACCCGCCTAAGTCTAAGCCCAAGCCCAAGTAGCATAATTCAAAATTCTAAATAGATCTAATATTTAAATAATTCAACAACATTTTAAATAATCTAACATAACATAAAATAGATTGCAAAATAATATAATATTCTATTTAAGGTGTCATTGGACCATAAAAAGAGAAATGGAACTATTAGAGAGAAAGGAAGAAAGGGAAAAAAAATTGAACTAAAAAAATAATAGCACTACACTTGAAGTTTTATAGAAGAATTTTTGTTATTACAATTTATATTACAACCATAAAGTGTTAAAAGATAAAAATTTAAAATTTCGCTAATTCAATAATTCTACTAACGATGAAATGCAAAACTATTTTAATGAACAATTAGGGAAAAAAGTTGATAAAATTACCATATAGCAATGCCACTTGTTAGTTTAATTATCATATTTCTAGATTGGCAGTTACAGTAATATGTATAGTTAGGTTTTTGGAGTATATATATAACGGGTAGCGGGGGCGGGACGGGGGTAAGGGTAAGTCCATCTCCGCCTTCATCTCCGTACGGATCTATACAGGTATTTTCGTATACATCCACCGTCTAATACATATAGTCTATCTCCGGTCCAAATGAGACGGGTTTAGACGAATACCCATTTTTTCCCGGTCCATTACTGTCCCTAGTCTCCTGCATTGTGTTGCTCTTAATTACAATAAGATTTTTGACAAGGGAATTTAGAATCCAACAAGAAATACATGATTATGTTAAATGCTTTGAAATTTAATCAAATCAAATCTAAAGGATAATTTAAATAGTAATAAAGACGAATTATAAACTCAAACATTTTTAGTTCAAATTTTAGCAACCCCTTATGATTAGGTTATACAAGATTTCTCGTGAATACCCAAATTTTGGCATGGATAACCCCCANTTTAGTTCAAATTTTAGTAACCCCTTATGATTAGGTTATACAAGATTTCTCGTGAATACCCAAATTTTGGCATGGATAACCCCCATTTAACTTGACCAAGCAAGAAATTAGTCGAGATGCGAATAAACTTGGTCTGAACACCTCTAATCTTTGAACAAAAGAGAAAAAGAAAAAAAAAAGAAATTTTATCAAATCAATGCTTTTCCGACGCTAAATATGAAATGGAAAAAGTCGTACGCCACCCATTTTTTTTTCACTTTTTTGGCTTTGCATCTCTGCCTGGAAAGAAACCCAAATATATATAAATTATACCATGTGAATGCCCTTATTTCATCAGTTTCTCTATGGTAAACGTGTACTGGATGTGGGAAAAGAACTTCATAGTACTTGGAAAAAGCACTGATTTTTCTAGAAAGTAAAAGTTGCTTATCTTTGTGTTCTCTCATGACGCCACCTTTGATCTAATCTTAAAATTTCTTGACTTTACCTCCAAAACTCCAAAACACTCTCTCTCTCTCTCTATCTATCTATATATATATATGTGTGTGTGTGTCATTTTCTGTAATGTGAAATGATAAGACATGGCTAAGTAAATCCCATGAAAAACAAGCTATACAGTATAGGGGTCTTACTTGTTGAAAACAAGAGGCTACCTTCACCGATGGCTCTCTCTGCTGAGGTAGGTTGGGCATGGGGACCATCCTGCTGTCATAAAATGGAATCATTATCTTAAAACATTAAACCACAATAATTAAATTTGGTTAATTGCATTCCTGCCTAAGGAAAGAGTACAAACAACTTTAAAAATATCTAAAATCATTACCTTTTTTTTTTTTTGGAGTAGATAATGAAATGCACTACTAAGATTTCTATTCTCTTGTGGAGGAAAGCTTAGCATACTTTTTCTTCATATTGATGCATATTTGTGTTCGCATGTAATAAGGCAACCGATAAACATGCCCATGCATAAATAGGAACCATACGTCCACACACATGCTTAGAATGATGGGATTTTTTTACTTGCATTCCTTTCTAAGGAAAGAGTACAAAGAACTTTAAAATAATTAGTGATTCATTCGGGAATAGTTCTGAACTGCACAATAGAAAAGATCTGACATAAAGTAGAATCCTCTTCACCGATTGGATACGTATGTATACATATACAAATTTATGTATAAACATACCCCTCATAGTTCTTATCAGAACGAAAGGGAGAAATAAGAAAGACATTATACCCTAAAACCCATTGCTCACAGAAAAGGATAAATTCATAAACATACATACATATATACATACAAATATATACGTAATACATAAACAGCAGACAATCGTGCACATAGCTCCATTTTTATGCCTTCATACATGTATGCTTATACTTTCACACATGAATATAAAACGATGAGCAATCTGATAGATTGAAAACTGCCCTAGGCCTTCACTTTATGGAGGAATGAATGAGGCTTTAATTGAAGAGTCTGCACCCAACCAACCAACCAAGGAATCTTTCCAAAAATTAGTGACATAATTGGAATATTGAATGGAATGGAAGGCTAATTAAAGTGTATCATTTTCTGGCCCATTTTGAGTGTCAGTTACTCAAACCAAGTTAGTCAAGGCCCATATTGTTGGCTACACTGCCTATACAATGATATGAACGAATAAGCAAATCATAATTGGGTGCAAATAATAATTACGCAAATATTTTTGGTTTTTTATTTAACTTATAAAAAATTAAAATCATTAACCGATGATAATTTAAAATAATATTGTTTGGATCTCGAATATTCTTTAAAATACAAAAAAATTTCTTACATTAATGATTTAGATTTATTTTTAGAATTAAATATTTTAAAAGAAATTTTATAAACGAAAGAAAACACTCTAATTAAAATACTAAATTATATAAATAGAAATGTATACATTGCTTACAGAATATTATTAACAATTCTTGTAACAGTTGCTTCTAAGGAAATAAGCTTTTCAAAATTAAAATTGAAAAAATCTTACTTAAGATCTATTGTCACAAGAAAGATTAACTAAGTTAGTGATGCTATTAATTGAAAAAAAAAAATATAATAGCAAAACTTAATTAGTATTTTACAATCAAAAGAAGAGAAATTAATTTTAAATAAAAAATGTTAATATTAAATATAGAACACCTCAATTTTTTTTTTAGTACTTATATATATATGTTATATATTTGCATAATATATCACTTGTGTCCACCCAAAACCAAAGACAAAAATATTAGGCCCATCACTATCCACCCAAAAAAATTAAAAAAAGAGCTCACTTAAAACCAAAAAACAAAAAAAAAATGTAGGCCTACCACCACTTAAACCAAAGACTCAAATTGAGTACAGAACCCAGTTAAATGCATCCTCAAATTTTTTTTCTTCTTAATATTATCTATATATATTTTAAATATTTCTTCAATATTTTTAATTATGTCTACCCTATTTTTTTTACACATCATTTAGTGTACACTAATATCAAATGAAATTTTTTGACACATTTTGAACATATTATGTACCTGTTTAAATAAATTTTAAATATACTAAAATTATTTTATACTTTTTAAGACTATAAAAAACATGATACATATATTAGCTAGTTTAATTGTGATTTTGACATTTATTTTATTAATTCCGATAGATATTATAAATTACACATTAAATTGTATAATCAAATGAGTGATAAACATCAAAATGATAACATGATGATGTATATAAAGAATAATAAAATTTTTATACAATGATTTTCAATAATAAAAATTCACTAAAGTCAATTCTAAATGATTTTAATTAGCCTATATTTTGTAAAAAAAATATAATTAGTCTTTTTTTTTTATTGTTGTCGTTTATATATCCTAAACTTACTAATTTTTTGTCTATTAGGGTTAATAAATTTTTAAGTATTAAATATGATGTAATTAAATATAAATTATTATCTTATTTCCATCCATTGTGAAAAAAATATATATATAATTTGTTAAAATATTTAAATAGACCTTGGCACGATTTTTTTGGCTCCGCCTTGGTATTGAGCCACCCTGCAAAATTGTTGATTGGATAAATTTTGTGGGACCCGTTAATGTAATGATTTTTGATGAAGTGATGCAAAAAGTAAGGTGCGTGGCTTTGTAAATTTCTTAATGGTCACGAATTGTTAAAACCAGCTACAAAACATGGGTGAGTGGGTTTGTTTAAGCTTGACTACACGTAATTGACCAAGTCAAATTGATGGCGTCTTTGACTTTGACCAACTTCCAACCATCTCTGCGGTACTATGTCAGGCCCAACGTTTCTGAATTAAGAGAAAGTCTTTCCAAGAAAAAGTCAAACACTAGATACTTCCATGTAAATACTAAAGCTAACTAAGCCTGACTTCTCAATCATACAACTACAAGCTCAAGGGTGGTGGAGACATACCATTCATTGTTAGTTACAGCCTTCACAAGATGCATAGAAGCTATCAGCAGGAGACCATGAAAAGACTCCAAATTCCGCCGAAGGCGCCATCGGCTTCTCAGAGGAATCGTGATTGCCGGAACAGTTATGTGGCATCTCCGAGGCCCAATCATACATACACACGTTCATCATCATACCGGTCAATGTCAGTTCAAGGTACCACCAGCCATGGGTTGGCAACACCAAGCTTTAAGTTAAGAAGACATCAAGCAAAGAAAGAGATACTGAGGAGAGCATTGACACCGCCGGTTCGTACACCGAGCTGGCGGTGGTGGAATTTCCGGCCACTGCCTAGCCGTCTCTCTAACATGTCCATGGCATAGTTGAAAATCTGTATTTTGTTTACAGTAAATTTTGGAATGAAATAGTGCATCAAGTATATGTGCTGCTCACATTTGCACATTCAATCATGTGTTTAATTCGGGTTTCATTTTCACGTCTTTCCTAAAAGATCATAAACAAATTTACTTTTCAATCAATTAATAACTGAGAGTTATTATCTATTACCTGCAACAACTCCAATTTTGCAACAGTATCCAGTGAAGATGCAAGATCTACAAATTCTTTGTCCTGGTCCTTGTCCTTTATGAATTCCAGAAGGGATTGCAATCTACCTTGGTTAAGAAAAGAAATTTAGCATCTAATGGTACTATAATGATCAACATACTTATCTCTATTCATTATTTCTCGAATTCATGCATAGTATAACTTAGAAAATTGTGGAATTGAGTTGTCCTGTGTATATCATGTAACCAACATAATGGTTTTACATTCTGAACAAAAAATGTCAGAAGCATCTTATTGATCAGAACAAAACTGAGTAGAACAGAGTTTCATGTGTCATACTCTGTACGAAATTAAAATGGACAAACTATTGAAGGTCCTAGCCTTTTCCTCAAAGTATCTGAGTCTCCTTTCAAATTACCTTCCCATCTATCTATCTATCTATATAGAAAGGCATACAAAACCAATCCGTTGTCCCTCAAAACCAATGTGATATGCCAGACTTGTAATCAATTGCAATCTGGAATTGAGAAATAAACAAGAAAACCATAAAACGGAGATGAGCGAGGACAAAAGATTAAAACAAAACAATTAGATAATGTAAGAATTGTGGCATTCGAAGGGAAGGATAAACAAAGGAATGAAAAAATTCATGCTGCCTTGCTGTACTATATGTCACAAACAATAGAGCACGTGAATCCTTGCTAAGATATATCATCTATAAACTTACCTTTTGAAATATAGCAAACCCAAAATCTGATATGTTCAATTAGCGCAGTCTTACTCTTAAACATGGTTAAGAAATCTGGTCCATAAACTTCACACAATGCATCACCTTTATGAAAGGTAAGTTAGAGACTGACCTCGCAGCCTCATTGTTGTAGTAATTGTTGGCTTAGAAAACATATAGAAAAAGGGGGAGAAAAGTACATTATCGGTCACCAAAAACAAAGTAGGTTGTGCAATGCAACTCTATCATGTCATGGTGCACCAAAGTAACAGAATCACTCAACAAAATAACTGGAAAGTATCAGAATATGAGTAAACTCTAAAAGTAGACTGGTGGCAAAAATGAAATTGCTATTTTTCAAAGTTCAAGGCATATGCTTGAAAATGAAACCAGTCATTAAACAACATCATATAAATTTTCATACATGCTGAAAACTCCAGTTTAATTGGATTATGGCCCTTGTTATGTCATAACCTTTTCATGAATTATGCGTTGAGAGGTTATTAGTAATATCTTTACAGCTTGCTTTTTTCATATTACCCTCCATTGTTCCATAGGGCTTTCTCTGTGAATGTGAATCCTCAGCAAATATGACATGTCCTCCAAAGAATCCTANATGGTTTTACATTCTGAACAAAAAATGTCAGAAGCATCTTATTGATCAGAACAAAACTGAGTAGAACAGAGTTTCATGTGTCATACTCTGTACGAAATTAAAATGGACAAACTATTGAAGGTCCTAGCCTTTTCCTCAAAGTATCTGAGTCTCCTTTCAAATTACCTTCCCATCTATCTATCTATCTATATAGAAAGGCATACAAAACCAATCCGTTGTCCCTCAAAACCAATGTGATATGCCAGACTTGTAATCAATTGCAATCTGGAATTGAGAAATAAACAAGAAAACCATAAAACGGAGATGAGCGAGGACAAAAGATTAAAACAAAACAATTAGATAATGTAAGAATTGTGGCATTCAAAGGGAAGGATAAACAAAGGAATGAAAAAATTCATGCTGCCTTGCTGTACTATATGTCACAAACAATAGAGCACGTGAATCCTTGCTAAGATATATCATCTATAAACTTACCTTTTGAAATATAGCAAACCCAAAATCTGATATGTTCAATTAGCGCAGTCTTACTCTTAAACATGGTTAAGAAATCTGGTCCATAAACTTCACACAATGCATCACCTTTATGAAAGGTAAGTTAGAGACTGACCTCGCAGCCTCATTGTTGTAGTAATTGTTGGCTTAGAAAACATATAGAAAAAGGGGGAGAAAAGTACATTATCGGTCACCAAAAACAAAGTAGGTTGTGCAATGCAACTCTATCATGTCATGGTGCACCAAAGTAACAGAATCACTCAACAAAATAACTGGAAAGTATCAGAATATGAGTAAACTCTAAAAGTAGACTGGTGGCAAAAATGAAATTGCTATTTTTCAAAGTTCAAGGCATATGCTTGAAAATGAAACCAGTCATTAAACAACATCATATAAATTTTCATACATGCTGAAAACTCCAGTTTAATTGGATTATGGCCCTTGTTATGTCATAACCTTTTCATGAATTATGCGTTGAGAGGTTATTAGTAATATCTTTACAGCTTGCTTTTTTCATATTACCCTCCATTGTTCCATAGGGCTTTCTCTGTGAATGTGAATCCTCAGCAAATATGACATGTCCTCCAAAGAATCCTACATGGAGAAGCAAGAAAGTCTGCAACTAATTCGTCATCTCACTACTGGAAATCCAGAGGCAGCCGGGTTGTAGTACTTTCCAGTAGGAGAAAGAAACAATTATCCACCTGTACATCTTTCATATTTGTAGTTGTAGGGGATAGCCCTTTTCAAAGCTAGTTCTTTTGTTCTAGGAACTTTGTGTCTAGGGAATAAAACAACGCTTTGATGTGGTTTGATTAAAAAGAAGTCTCACCTTGATTGATACCTTTTCACAAGCTTACTGATAGAAAGGGATAAAATGCGTTCAAGCAACCTATCTTACTTATAATCTAATTAAAGTCCCCATCATCATAAAGCTACAACTTGAAAGTCGGTCTTACCCTATGTTATATTTTTAAGAGCCTTGCTTTGGAAAGAAAGAGAAACTACTCACCACCCATTTTTCTTGATTCTAGTGTGGTAATCATACCCAAAAGAGGAGTTTGATCCTGGATGCAAGTGACATGAAAAATCGTACAAAAGTTACTAATTGTACTTTCTAATAGAGTCATTAGTTCCACAACTCTAGGAGACAATTCCATGATTCAAGTTTTTTATAGTCAAGGAGAATACCGCTTCTCTGCTCCGTGCATCTAACTCTTGAATTTAAATTCCGGGGGTTTGGATGTGAAATGAAACCACTCGCACTTAACAGCATTGCGCTACCAAATTTCTTCGCTCCATGCTCCGCAATAGATGCATAAATATTGGTTAGAATATCAGACCGGTTTGTGAATTCTTGCATGGACAATATCTCAGTTCAAAAGCAGAGAGATCCAAAAGGGAAAACAACTCATCCGTTCTTTGGTCCCAATCATCTTTTTTTCTTTTTGAGAGAGAGAGAGGGAGATTAATCTATTGAATCAGCAAGCAATGAACATGTTGAATCAATGTAGTCAAGTTGATAACAAAAAGCCCATTATAGGGGTTAAATCCGTTACATGAAATGGCTTTAGATCCAATTGGACGCCAATTTTGTTCCCAATTACTTGATAAACCTTAAATTCCTATTAGTCAAAAGTCTGTAATTGTTTTTTTATTTTTTTGAATCAGGCTATCCAGATCAACTTATGCGCTCGATTATTCTACTCTCCGGGGATCAATCTATCTTGGTCTATTTCCAAGATAAATCTGTGATATAAATTTTACCTGAAAAGTAATATNTGCTCGACTATTCTACTCTCCGGGGATCAATCTATCTTGGTCTATTTCCAAGATAAATCTGTGATATAAATTTTACCTAAAAAGTAATATGCTATCCACAGATGAAATTCCACTAAAAAATTGTGATACAAGAATCCAACAACAACTTTTAGCCACACCAACGATCAATATCGCAAATATGGATCCCAAAGAGAAAGAAAACTGGTTATAATCGAACTAACCGCAGAAGCATTCTTTATTGGCGGGTGAGCGGATCTTGTAGTGTAATATCTTTGAGTTAGATTGAACCGGATCGAAAATGGCTAGATAAACAAGTTCTACTTGAAACGGAGGGAGTGACAGAGGCATTGAGGGACACCACCCTTTGGGATGTGATGGTGAAGAATAAAGGAAGCGTCATGGGCAGCAGTTGAAGTTTTGCAGAGATTTTGGAGCGCCTCATTCAAATCCCATGTGGTAAGGTTCTGCTGGATTTTTGTATGGTTGCGGGACATGAAAATGCCTGTAATAATAATATTATTTGAACATAATTTAGGATAAATTTCAATCACACCCTATGATTTTTGATTTTATTACACGTAAGTTACTTCACATTTCAAAAACTATACTGAGATCCCAATTGATGCACAGCGTTCATGTTTTTGGAAAAAAAAAAAAAAGAGAGTCTATTTTATCCTCCATTTAACTGCTAAAAATGCCCAACTCAAATACTCTTGCCCAAATTCATACCTAAATTGAAGAAAGAAGGAGAACCAAAAGGCAAGGAGATTGTGATACATCTCCCTGACCATCCACATTCTAACCCCCGCCCCCCCACCCCCGGGGGGGGAATTTCTTTTAATGGATTCCAGTTTTGTGCTCTTAAATTATGAACCATTTGGGACTAACAGTTTGGAGTAGATATTAATGGGGTTTTTTGTCCTTGGTTGATAGTAGGTTTGGTGTACATAGTGGTTTCTGTGGTAGTGGAGGCAAAGGTGACTGGTGATGGGTGGAATTTGGGTTGCGATTTTCGTATGGGTGGGCATGTGCAGAAGAACAAGATGGAAGAGGGGTGCTAGTGGTGTGGTGATGTTGGGTGGTTGAGATTTTGTTGATGGGTGGTGCCACGGGATTTCGTTGGGGGGCGGCCGGTGTCCAGATGTGGGTTTGGTGGGTCAGGAGCTTTCCTTGGTTGATTGTTGGTACCTGTATGTGCA